AAGCCTCTTCACCAGAGAAAAACCGAGACATGAGACCCCTATGTGAGAAGGCCCCCTCTCATACTTTCCAAGGCCTGGGACTGAAACCCCCAACCCCGGGGAGGAGTGCGGGGGGAGGCAAGCTGACCAAAGCAAGATGGATGTTGCAGGTGGGAGCATTGGACCACAAAGACAATGGCTCTCACCCACTACAGAGAATATGGACTGTGTGTACCCTTTCCAAATACCATTCTTTTCCCCGAGGATACAATAGACTACCTTTGATTCGGTTTCAAGATCTATTCCCCTTCCCCCATCAAAAAAGGGTATTATTAGAGTGCAGATGGACTGCACCCCTGAGATCTCCCTGGACGTGACCTGGTGAACTCCATCGGCTGGACACCGAAAGACTCCGCAGTACTACGTTTGGTACGTTTGGTAGCTACATACCTTTTTCTTTTTCCTCTCTCTTTTCCCTTATTTTTCCCTTTCCCCCAATTCCTCCCCAAGGCATTTTCACTGTGGTTATTTCAATAAAGGTGCATTTGTTTTGATTATCACTGCAAACCCCCTTTGACCGTGTTGGTTCTTCTTGCACTCTGAGATCACAAACCATCATGAAACCCATCCGTGAGGATGGCTTGTGACAACTGGCTGTCACTCACTGCTGTGGCCACCGCTCCCCTGGCTGGCGGCTCTTCGGATGAAGGGCAAGGAAGCGAGGTCACATCTTGTCCCAACATGGAGGTGGCCCTTGGTGGGGGCAGGGTGGCCACAAGCTGGGCACAGGCTGGGGACATGGTGGGGACAGCCTGGGGACGTGGTGGGGGATGCTGTTGCCAGGACTGGGGGGACTCAGGGGATGTGGGGAACCAAGGATGGGTGTCCAGGAGAATGGGGGTGCAGGGGAATTGGGGTCTCCATGCCTGGGGGCATTCAGGGATGGGGGTGCTGTGGGAACATGGTCCCCAGAGATTTGGGGTCATGGTGTGTGGGTGCCAGGGTTGGGGGCTCAGGGGGAAAAAGGGGACCCTCGGGAATAGGGGTTCCGGGGAAGAAGCAGCCTATGAGATGGGATCAAAGCACTGGTGGTGCTGGGCAATGTCAGTCCTGGGATGGGGTCCCCAGGGAGGAGAGACCAAGGCAATGGGGGTCCCATGGTTGGGTTCCCAGGGGAATGGGGGTGCCAGGGATGGGCAGTGGCTGGGTGGGCACGGGGGTCACAGCTCCTTCATGCGGTGCCTCAGATTTTGGGGTGACTCAGAGCCCAGCACAGCCCCCACCCTGGGGCACCCCATGGCTGTCCTGGGAGTCTCTGTGTCCCTTCCCCACTCACCCCTGGGTCAGGTCCCACCATTTCCTGGCTCAGCCATCCCAGGCAACACTTGATGCCCAATTGGTTCAGACAAAATTACACATCCATAGAATAAAAGCAAAAATCTTTCCCACACCATTGTTTTCCCAATAAAGAACAAACTCAGCAAAAATCAAACTGGCAAGGTATAAAATGCTCTGGTTTGTAGAATCCTTATAACGCTTTCTGTCCCAACAAGTCCCTCACAATAAAAACACAAACAAATCACAAAGAAATGAGACTTTTTGGGTCCCTTAAGAAGCCCCTTGGTGCATCCCACAGTAGCATTTTCTTGTGGATAACACAGAGGGTGGAATCTCCCTGAGTGTCCAACAGCTCCATGGGATTGTTCCCTGCCTGCTGGGCAGCAACCCAGCCCCTAAGGAAGCCTTTTCTTGGACCATATTAAGGAACCCTCCCAATTTTTCTCATTCCTACCCTGAAACTTGATTGACTTCCCATGGAGGAAAGGGAGAAGCTCTGTCCAGGCTTGGGACAGTGCACAGGAATCTGTGGAAATGCCCCTGTGTTCCTCAGGGTCTGATTCCCTGGTAAATCCACTCCAGCCTGCCCTGAATTCCCCTGTCTGGGCACTCCCTGCTCCTGTTGTGACACCCCTGTTCCCCAGCCCCTCGTGTGCAGCCCCTGCTCAATATTTCCACACTTTTCCCTCTTATTGGTGGCCAGAGCCCAAACCCAAATATTCATTCCATGATGTTCCAGAAGTCTGCAGGTTTTCTTCAAGAAGGAGCGTTCCAGTCAGGTTGTTGAGCAGATTGTTATTGTCTTTACAATAGTTTTGTGGTTTTCTCAGTCCCTTGTGGCAAGGGACAAAATGAACAATTGGAGCATTTCCGGACTCATTCCCTCACAGCTGCCCCTGCAGGGGCAGTTTCCAGCCAGCCCTGCTCTGAAAACCATCAAAGGCCCTCCCAGAGCCACTGCTTGGGCTCCCATTGGGGTTTGTCCTTCTTGCAGGGCTGAGCAAACCACAGGCAGGGCCTTTTTCCACCCACAGAATTCTCCCCTCTGCAGCAGCTCTAAAGCTGCCAGAATCAAAGCCAAGGGGGCAGGGGGGACCCTCAGGTGCTGGCTGCCACCTGGGGCTGGGCAGAGCAGGGCTGGCCAATGGCCATCCCTGTGCAGTGGGGCTGGGCCATGGCTGGGCCCCAGCCTTGCATTGACAGGGGTCCCCAGGATGTGCCACCCCTGGGACAGGCACCCGGCCAGGAATGTGCAGGGACATTTCCGGAACTGCCACCCCCTGGGACAGGACCCCCCATTCCAGGATGTGTCACCCCCGGGGACAGGATCCCCCCAGGACAGGAGCCTCTGGATGTGCCCCCCCAGGACAGAACCCCCCCTTTCCCATCTGACTCTCAGCACAAACAGCCTCTTCCTTCTTGTCCAGGAAAAGGAAAGTGAAAGTGTTGAGGGGGCACCGCCCAACACCTCCATCCCCCACAGCTTCCCCACCCTTCCCTGCATACCCCGCTCCCCATTTTCCCCCTCTCCTGGCTCCCCCCAACCCATTCCCTGCTCAGGTGCCCCCTGGGATTGCTGAGCCAGGAATGGGGGCAGAGGGCACCTGGCACAAAAGTGATGAAAATAAGGAAAGAAAAGCAATAAAAACACAAAAAAAGTCAAGGACAGTGGAGGGCACAGAGGCAGAGCTACCCAGGACCCCCATGTGATGCCGGCACAGGAAACAAGCATCCCAGTGGGGCTTTGCTTGCTCTGGGTCACCCCAAAATCTGAGGCACCCAGGGAAGGAGCTGAGACTCCTGAGCCCATCCAGCAACTCCTCATCCCTGGCACCCCCATTCCTCCTGGAATCTAAACATGGGATCCCCATTCCTTATGGCCCCTCATCCCTGGGACCCCCATCCCAGTACTGACATTCCCCAGGATCTCCATAGCCCAGCACCCCATTCCCAAGGAACACTCTCCTGCTCATTCAGTCCTCTGAAATCCCCCTTCCCCCATGACCTTGATTCTCTCAGGAATGCCGTTCCCATGGACAACCCCCATTCCCCCAGCATCCCCATCTCATGACCCCAAATCCTGGAGCCCACGCTCACCTGGGACTCCCATCCCTGAGTCCCCTCAGCCCTGGACACCCCCAGACCCATGACTCCCCCTCCTCAGGAACCACATTCCCCTGGACATCCATCCCTGGCTCCCCAAACCCACCGAGCCCCCCACTCCTGCAAACCACATCTCCCACCTTGTCCCACCCACCCTCATCCCCATCCTGTGCCCAGCTTGTGGCCACCCTGCCCCCACCAAGGGCCACCTACGCATGGGGACGGACGTAACCTCGCTTCCTTCCCCTTCATCCAAAGAGCCGCCAGGCAGGGGAGCGGTGGCCACAGCAGCGAGTGACAGCCAGGGCACATGGCTGGGGACACCGGGATGGCCGGGAAGGTGGCGCTGCTCCTGTGGGGTGAGTGCCCCGGGCACGGGCCTGACACCCTGGGGATGGGGAGGGGAGTGGGCACAGGGGGGCTGCAGGGTCCCCCGAGGTCCCCAATGCCAGCAGTGCCAGTCCATGTTACCCACAGTGAACCTTGGTGGCACTGGGGATGTAGGGTGGCTTTGGGGACAGGAATAGGGGGGTAGGAATTTGGGGATGGGGATGTAGGGACAGGAATGTGGGGACTGGCACCTTTGGGCTCAGGTAGCTCTGGGGATAAGGACAAGGGAACTGGGATGCAGGGACAGAAAGCAACAAGAACCATGAGGATGTGGCCATGGGGATGGGATCATGAGCTGGTGGGGATGACCTGTGCCAGCATGGGCTGTGTCTGTGGTGTCCTCATGCCAGGGGTGTCTACATTGTCCCCATGTTCTGCCTTAGCCCAGGGTGGCCTCGGTGTCCCTGTTCCCAAGGTGTTTGTGTCACAGGGATGTGGTGCACGGGTGGCAGTGACACAGACATGTCCCCCTCCCTCTCCAAATCTTTTTGAGACCACCAACACACACTTTCCCACAAGAAATGCTGTCCCCACAGGGAGAGTTTTTGGGGACAGCCACCACGCCCTGTACCCTGGTGCTTCCTTCCCTGCAGTGCCACCCCCACCCAGCCATGTCCCTTCTCCCTTCCAGCCCAGACCCTCGGCCTCGCTGGTGAGTCCTCGGGGGATGCCATGGCCCCACCCCACTGTCCCCAGCCCCACACTGGCCCTGGCAGGCTGGTGTCCCCTGTCACCCACAGGTGCCCAGACCACCCAGCTCCTGGTGGAGCCCCCCTGGAAGCTGGCGGTGCTGTGGGACCGGGTGACCCTGACCTGCCAGGGCTGGGGGACACCCGGTGCCACCACCTGGTACAAGGATGGGCAGCGCTGGGGGCAGGAAGGACCTGAACACCTCACTGTCACCGAGAGTGGCACCTACACGTGACAGACCTTGCACCAGGCGCAGCCCCCCGTGACAGTCTTAGATGGTGAGGGTGGATCTTTAATGATCAGGGTGGCCCCTGAGAGGTCAGGGTGGGCTCCACTCCATGGGTGGCCTTACACCCCTCATGTGGCGAGAGCCTGTGCCCTGCACACAGGGACATCCCAGTGCAGCCCAGTGCACTCCAGAGCACCCAGATGTCCCTGGTGCTATGGGCAGCCACCTCAGAATGGTCTCATCAGTAAAATGTGACCTTCCTGTCCCTCAGACTGGCTGGTGATGCAGGTGCCAGCGCGGGCACTGCTGGAGGGGGACACAGTGACACTGCGCTGCCAGGGCCGGCAGGAAAACCATCTCAGCAGGGTGCGATTTTACCAGGATGAGAAGGATCTCGGGGGGTCCCTCAGGGGAACCGAGCTGTCCCTGTCCCCCCTGGAACTTCACCACAGCGGCCGCTACAGCTGTGCAGGCTTGGTGGGGTCCTGGCAGTCCCGGTCTGCAGCAGTGACAGTGACAGTGCACAGTGAGTACCCCCAGGGCTGGAACTCCAATATCTTGACAATCCCAAAGACACTTCCCAGTGGATTCAGAGCCACAGTCCTCACCTCCCCTCTCCTTCCCAGAGCTCTTCTCGGTGCCGGTGCTGGAGGGTCCCCCCACTCCCACCCAGGGGTCCCCTCTGACTCTCAGCTGCCTCAGCACCCCCAGCCCCCTGCGGCCCCAAGCCCCCCTCCTGCATGTGTTCTACCGGGACGGGCAGGTGGTGGGGGGCCCGCAGGGGTCCCCGCAGCTGCTGGTGCCCGCCGTGGGGGTCTCCCACTCGGGGAATTATGGCTGTGAGGTGCACTCCCAGGGTGGGGCCGTGCGGAAGAGCAGCGCCTGGCTCAGCGTCACGGTGCGCAGTGAGTGTGGGGATGGGCACGGGGAGCCCCCACAGCCTCCTTGGGTCCCCCACACTGCCTGGCATCGCCCAGCCCTCCCTGATGCCTGCTCTGGGGTACCCAACCTTTCCCAGATCCCTCCCTGGCTCCCACCATCCTTTCTTGGGTCCCTCCCTGGGACCCCCAGCCCCTACATGGGTACCCCCATCCTTCCCTGGCACCATTTCCATGTCCTGCCATTGCTGCCCCGGGTCCCTCCCCCGATCCCCCCATTCCTGGCTCGTGTTTCCCTCCATCCCACATTGGGTCCCCTCACCCCTCCCTGTGTTCCATCCCCCCTCTCTGAGTTCTCCGCACATTCCCCAGATCACACCATCCCCTCCCTGTGTCCCCGTACCTGCCCTGGTGTTCCCACCTCCCTCTCCAGGTGTTCCCTCCCTGACCCCCCCAGCATTCCTCAGGGTTCCTTTCAAAGCACAGCCCCCCTCCTCCATCTCTGCGCCCGCTCTCCTTCACTGGAGTTCCCCTGCCCCTCCATGATCCCCCTGGCTCCCTCACTGTTCCCTGGTGTCCCCCTCTCCTGCAGGGGTCCCGCCCTTGGGGGTGTCCCTGTCAGCACAGCCCCCGGGGGACAGGTGGCACTGGGGGACAGCCTGGTGCTCAACTGCTCAGTGACCATGGGAACAGGTCCCCTGTCCTTCTCCTGGCACCAGGAGAGCTGAGGGGCACTACTGGGCACCAGCCCCCGCCTGGAGCTGCGCCACGTTGGGGACAATGACAGCGGCCAGTACCGGCGCCGGGTCAGTGACGGGGACAGCGTGGCTGAGAGTGACCCCATGAATGTCACCGTCCTGTGTGAGCAGGACCCTCGGGTTGGGGGTGAGCCCACCCAGAGCACTCCCATCCCACCCTGCCATTTGTCAGCCCTGTCTGTGTCCCCACAGTGCCCGTGGCCAATGCCACCATCACCCCCAGTCCCCTGTCACACCAGGTGCGCGCAGGTGACAACGTGACCCTGCACTGCTCAGTGCAGGTGGGCTCAGCCCCTGTCACCTTCACCTGGCTGTGTGACGGCCAGAAGGTGGCCCAGGGTCCCCTCCTGCAGCTCAATGATGTTGAAGTGGGACATTGGGGCACCTACCAGTGCGTGGCCACCAACCAGCTGGGACAGGACCGGCACCGCGTGTTCCAGGCACATAGCCCTGAGCTGGCCCTGGAGGTGACACCTGGCTCACCCTGGGTCACAGGTGGGGTCACACAGGTGGGGTCACCAGGAAGTACAGGACCCCTGGGGGATGGGTAACCCTGATGTGTCCCCCTCTGTTTCTTGCAGTGGCTGCAGGGGTTGGTGGGGCCCTTTCCTTCCTGGTCCTCCTCATGGCTGTCACTGTCACCTGGCACTGGTGGCATCATGTGGGTGGGTGACAATGGGAGACGGGGGTCCCAGGGAGCTGTAGAGGCCCACAGAATTGGGGAACCATAGGTGACGACCCACATACCCACAACTGTGACATTGGCTGAGGGTCCTGTAGGGTTTGGGGAGGTGCTGGAGGGTCCTGCAGGGATGCTGGGGGCTCTTTCAGGGGCCCGGGGGGTGTTTGGGGGTCTCTGTCCCTGCTGGGCTTTGGGTTCTTGAGGGTGATTTGTTTGGGGCCACTGGGGAGGTTCATGAATTCTGGGGGGCTGCAGGGATTCTTGGGGGTGCTGAGGGGAATTGAGGGTCCCGTGGAGGTACAGGATTCCTAAGGGGTTTCAGGGCCCTGGGGACTCCTCAATCACCCCGTTCCTCTTTCGTCTGCAGCTGCCAGGAAGCACCAGGAAAGGTGAGTAGGGGGCTCAAACCACACTATCCCCTATTTACACCAACCCCCAAGACCTCCCATTCCCCTTCCCACATCCCCTTTATTCCCTCAGGGCCCCCCCGGATCCCCCGGCCCCCCCAGAGGAGGGGGAGGTGCTGTACACCCACGTCGTGGTCACCAAGAGGGCAGGGGGTGAGTACGGGGGTGACACACGCAGAGGGACACGTCACCCACCAGTGTCACCCCACCCAGATCCCACAGCCCATGTCTCTCGCAGCGTCCCCCCGTGCCACCACCCTCCAGCATCCCCAGGTGACCAACGCGGAGCTGCGGGGACCCCAGGGGCGACCGCGGGAACCCGGTGACATCTACGGGAATGTGCTGCGACACTGGGGGGAACTGGGGGCACTGGGGGTCCCCACCCATGGGCACCCACTCGTGTTTGTGCTGCCACTAAAAACTGTCCTAATCCCTCCCCGTGGGGGCACAAAGATCTCAAAGGTCTGAAAGAAGAACAATTTCCTGAAACAGCAATGAGAGAGAATTAAACCAACAGCAACAAGGTTCAGAGTCCAAATGGTCAAAAAAGAACAATTTCCTTGGAAAGCCCCCAAAAAGGAAAAAACCCCAGATGTTTCCCCCAGCACGTTTCCTCCACCAGAGGAACCTGGCAGGGCCTCGACCTTCCTTGCTCTGATGGCTACAGCGGCCTTCAGGAGGCTCTGGATTCTCTTCTCCCCTGACCCAAACCCCTCCTCTGCCCTTTTCCCAACACGAGGATTTCACAAAACCCATGGGGGGGTTCTGGAGCCTCCGCCTTTTCCAGGGCAGTAGGGATCAGGCCATGGCACAGGGCAGGGTGTCAGAGACAGGAAAAGTTTGATGTCTGGAGACATTTTGGAACACCTGTGTGTAGCAGGGGTGGGTCAGGCCTTGCTTATGGTGAGACAGGGCCCTGCCTGTCCATCAGTCTGTCAGCCACAGCACACTGGGGACAGTGGGATGCTCTGCCAAAGCCAGCTCCTGAGTGGCCGGGTGACCAGAAGTGCCAGCTGGGGAGAGGGCCCTTGGTGGCCCAACTGGCTTAAAGGGTAGAGCATAAGGTAGCCACGTCCCTGACCGTGTCTCCTCTTGGGTTGTCTGTCCCATCCACGCTGGAACCCAAGAGTTGGCAACTCATTTAAATGAGAAATACCTACCCAGGAAATTGGGAATGTTTCTGGAATGGAAAGAAGACCCATCTCTAAAAGTTTTTTTAGTTTAAGAAATGATGAAGCTTCCAGGCAAAAGTGTAGGAAAAGGAGTAAGTCCTCTATACCAAGAAATTTATAAAGCAGAACAGAACAAACAACACAAACCCAGAACTTTCCCTCCTGCTCAGCGCTGTGGCAGTTGTGGCAGTTATAACCGCGGCCAGCAGGGGGCGCTTCAGGGAGAACTCCCGGCCAGCAGGGGGCGCCCCGCTCCAGCTCCATCCCCTCAGGGGCCATGGCGGCCTCGGGCGGGAGGGAGGAGGGCAAATCGCTCCTTCTGCAAACTCACGGCCACCAATCGGTCCCGGCACCACCACCGGCAGCGGGCAGAAGCCGCCAAGGCAGCAGGTTGGATCCCAGTGCCCACTGGCAGCGTAGCAGTGTCCCGGGGCCAGGCACATGCCCTGTGCAACACCCGCGACCGCTCTCCATGATCCTGAATGGAAGGAAGGCAGCACCTGACCCCAGGCAGGTCTCGGGCCTACAGCAGCACCTCTGGTGGCTTTGTGGCACAATTCCTGCAAACCCTCAGCTTTTTACTCAGGTGAGGAGGGCAGGAATGGAGCAGCTTTGTGGACACCTGGAATCCAGACAGGGTCACTCCCCACAGCCCCACCATGGCTGCAGGGCCGCCCCCCTGCTCAATATTTCCACACATATACCACCTATCTGGCAGCCAAACCAGAACCCAAATATTCTTCCCGGGATGTTACAAAGGGCTGCAGGCTTGACACAGGTAGGAGGATGGACCCAGGCAGGTTGTTGAGCAGATTGGTGTGGGATTTGCAGAGTTTTTTGAGCTCTCTCAGAACCTTGCTGTAAGGGACAAAATGATCAATTGCTGCATTTCCGGACTCATTCCCTCGCAGCTTTCCCTGCAAGGGCAGTTTCCAGCCAGCCCTGCTCTGAAAACCATCAAAGGCCCTCACAAAGCCACTGCTTGGGCTCCCTTTGGGGATTGTGCTTCTTGCAGGGCTGAGCAAACCACAGCCAGGCCTTTTTCCACCCACAGAATTCTCACCTCTGCAGCAGCTCCACAGACCCAGAGCCCCTTGGAATCTGTCCGTGGTGACACCCAGGCTGCTGGCACCTTGTTGGGGCTGTGTTAGGTCGTGGGCCACCCCAAAATGTGAGGCATCAAGAGAAGGAGCTGTGACCATGGGTCCATGCAGCCCCTGCCCTTCCCTGGCAATCTCATTTCCCTGGAAATAAAACCATGGGAGTCCCATTCTTTAGGTGCCACTGTACCTGGGACCCCTATCCCTGTACTGACATTCCCCAGGATCTCCATGGCCCAAGACCCCATTCCCAAGGAACCCTCTCCTGTTCATTCTATCCTCTGAAATCCTCCTTCCCCCATGACCTTGATTCTCCCACGACCCTCACTCCCATGGGAGCCCCCATTCCCCCAGCATCCTCATCCCATGACCCTGGAGCCCACATTCCCCTGGGACTCCCATCCCTGAGTCCCCCAAGCCCTGGGCAATCCCATTCCCATGGCACCCCCATCCCTGGTGATTCCACCTCTGCAGCACCCTCATTCCCACAGACCCCATCCCTGGGACCTCCCATTCTCCTGGACACCCATCCCTGTCACCACAAACCCTCTGAGCCCCCCACTACTGGGAACCCCATATTGCATCTTGCCTCACCCAGTTTTGTCCCCATCCTGTCCCCACCCTGCCCACAGCCTGTCCCCTGCTTGTGGCCACCCTGCCCCCACCAAGGGCCACCTACACATGAGGGCGAGGCCTGACTTGGCTTCCTTCCCCTTTGGCCAAAGAGCCACCAGCCAGGGGACAGCCACCCCCGGCAGCGAGTGACAGCCAGTGCACATGGCTGGGGACACCGGGATGGCCGTGAAGGTGGCGCTGCTCCTGTGGGGTGAGTGCCCCGGGCACAGGCCTGACAGCCCAGGGATGGGGAGGGGAGGGGGCACAGGGGGGCTGTGGGGTCCCCTGGGGTGCTCAAGGCCAGCAGTGCTGTTACCCACAGTGGACCTTGGTGGGACTGGGGATGTAGGGTGGCTTTGGGGACAGGAATAGAGGGGCAGGAATTTGGGGATGGGGATGTGGGCACAGGAATGTGGGGACTGGCACCTTTGGGCTCAGGTAGCTGTGGGGATAAGGACAAGGGACCTGGGATGCAGGGGCAGAAGGGAACAAGAACGGTGAGGATGTGGCCATGGGGATGGGATCATGAGCTGGTGGGGGTGACCTGAGCCAGCATGGGCTGTGTCTGTGGTGTCCTTGTGCCCGGAGAGTCCACAGTGTCCCCATGTTCTGCCTCAGCCCAGGGTGGCCTCGGTGTCCCTGTTCCCAAGGTGTCTGTTCCACAGGGATGTAGTGCACGGATGGCTGTGACACAGACATGTCCCCCTGCAGCGAAAAATCTTTTGGGGACCACCCAGACACACTTTCCCACAAGAACTGCTGTCCCCATGAGGACAATTTGGGGACAGCCCTCACGCCCTGTACCTTGTGTGCCTCTGTCCCTGCAATGCCACCCCCACCCAGCCCTGTCCCTTCTCCCTTCCAGCCCAGACCTTCGGCCTCACTGGTGAGTCCTCGGGGGATGCTATGGCCCCACCCCGCTGTCCCCAGCCCCACGCTGGCCCTGGCAGGCTGGTGTCCCCTGTCACCCACAGGTGCCCAGACCACCCAGCTCCTAATGGAGCCTCCCTGGAGACTGGGTGTGCTGTGGGACCGGGTGACACTGACCTGCCAGGGCTCGGGGACCACTGGTGCCACCACCTGGTACAAGGACAGTAAGCCCTGGGGGCAGAAGGGACCTGACCCCTTCGCTGTCATCGTGAGTGGCACCAACATGTGTGACAGACCCGACACTGGGCTCAGCCCCCCCGTGAGAATCTCAGATGGTGAAGGGGGTTTGGCTGTCCCCAGGCTGGCACCCGTGGGGACCCCAAGGGCTCTGGGTGGGCTCTCCTCCATGGGTCACCTCCTGTGTGATCACAGCCTGTCCCCTGCTCAGGGGACATCCCAGAGCATCCTAGGCTGGGAGGATCCCCATGCTGGATATGGGGACCCCTGGTGCACTGGGTGTGACCCTATGGGGGGGTTCCGGTGCCATCAGGTGTGACAGGACTCCTCTGTCCCCAGTGTGGCTGGTGCTGCAGGTGTCAGTACAGGCACTGCTGGAGGCGGACATGGTGACACTGTGCTGCTGGGGCTGGCGGAACCTCAATGTCAAATCCATGTCCTTCTACCACAAGGGGAAGAAACTGGAGGGACTCCGCAATGGGACTGAGCTGTCCCTGTCTCCTCTGCAGCTGCACCACAGCGGCAACTACAGCTGCAGGGGCTGGGTGAGGTCCTGAGTGTTGGAGGAGTCAGCACCTGTGACAGTGACA